AAAAAAAAATGATCTATATGGAAGTTAAATAATTTATATTTATATTATACATTATATATAGTAAAAATTTTATTACATGTACAAATAATATATAAATTTTTGTCCTCGTACATGTGCACAACATCAAATACCACTTTATTTACCAACAGGGGTTGACTCAAGTGGTAAATAGCTTGATGTCCCTTAAGTAAGGTCTCGGGTTCGAGTTCTTGTGGATGCAGAAAACCCTTGTTGGGAGACTCACCCACCACTGCCAGGTGTGCGACCCGGGTCGACCAACGGATTAGTCGGAACATAGCTCCGGATACCGTGACTGATTACCAAAAAAAATACTACTTTATTTTTTATTTATTTATTTATTGGTAAATACTACTTTAATTTTAACTTTTATTCTATGCCCAAGGTGAGAAATTACTTCCTTTTCTTTTTGTTTCATTCACATCCTGCCCGTGTTCTTCGGGCAGACTTCTATTTGCTTTGTTAGTCTTAGATTCTATTTAGCAAAATTTGTCAAGAAAATACTTTTCCCCTCTTGTTTGTTTACCTAGTGTAGGCCATAAATTGCACACCCAACACATCACAAAACAAATTGAAACCTAAAAATAAATAACACCCAATTTATTCATATTTATTATTGAGGATTGCTACTTGTTTCTAGTTAGTTGCATATTTTATTTCATTTTCTTGTTCCATTTTGTCCTTGAGCTTTGAATTTGAACTGGTCAGCACAATTTTTGCGTCTTCCTTGCTCAGATTTCGATCTTTTTTTTTCAAGAGACGGTGGACTGGTGGCACCTATCCATATAACTTGTGCCTACTTTTTTGAATTCAGATTATTATACTATTATTATTTTTCTCATTTTTTTTGGTAGCCACCAGAGCTATGCTCCGACTAATTCGTTTGTCGACATAGATCGCACACCTCTCCAACAAAGGTTATTATTATTATTATTATTATTATTATTATTATTATTATTATTATTTTGCCTTCCGTGTGATTCCAACAAAGTCTCTGCCTTTGAAGATTAGGATCTTCAATCAATCACTGAAGTTTATTGTACCCTTTCTCACTGTAATTTTCAGCAGGTTTTATCAACTGGGTCTGAGCTATCTCACTGATTTGATTTTGGGGGTTTTGTATTTTTTTTTTCTTTTTTTTTTT